TTTAGCTACTTGGAGAAAATGGTGCATTGAGAGGACTATCTCAAAGGCAAGTCCCCAACAGCTGTCCTCCACAATATATTTTATTGCTCATCTCTACACTCACTTGCCTGAAGCCAGTCAGAAAGCAAAGCTGCAAATGAACACAGGACTTGAGCAGCAGGTAGGAGTCAGCCACACTCATGATGCAGATAAATGAAAACTTGACTGCTTTATTTGTTAACTACCTGAGAACATCACAAAAGCAACAAAATAACAACAATGGTAAGAAGACTACTCTAATACTTTATCTTATTCTGGTAATTCTAAAATAATGCAACATTCTCCTACAGCAATATAATGACAGAAAACAGACCTCTGTCATTAAGCGTTTGAGCCCTTCCACCTCATCTTCTCCTGGATTGAGTTCACCACCAGGTCTGTTAAAATAATCAATGATGAAAGTCAAAGTTATTTTATTGCATTTACCAATCTTCACAGCCAAGTTCCAGTGTGCTTCCAGGCTTATGGCTCTTAAGTTAGGAGTTAGAGATCTAGTTTTGCTGAATTGAAAGACAGCAGCATAGCTTTCACCTCAACTGAAATTAAAATGGCTATTTACATCCCTTAAAAAATAACCATTACATAAAATACTTTCAGTTCAGCAGGACAAACTATAACAATACACATGATAAAAACTCAGTCCCTTATAGGGTAAAGTTTTAATAATAATAACCAGAAGCTGAAGGGCTGTAAATACTGCCTGTATTTGTTCTTATCACAAAGCCAGCACTAACTGAAGCATAGAGAAAGCAGAAAATAAAACTCATGTGGGAAAATTATGCAGGATTATTAATTTTCATCATTACAGCATTTTGCAAATTGTTTACATTCTTGTCTAGTCTGCAACAGCCCTTCAAATCAAGATGCCAAAAACTAATCTAGATTAGTTAAATTACTTAACATACACACAAAATTGAGAACAATCTAAAATGTTAAAACAGAAGAACAAGAACACAATCATGGTAACATGAGACAAGTCAAGGCCATCTAGTATAAAAAATAAAATCACCACCATCACTACATCTGTATGCAATCACTAGAACTTCAGTCTGGCTGTGATAACTATGAGATGAACTGAAGCAATTTTCTCAGATTTAGATGCCTACCTTTCTTGCTATCCCAGCTCAGCTATTAGTTTGTAAGCAGGTATCATTCTGCATTTACAGGGGGTTAGTCCTTGGCCTCCGCTTGCCCATTTTTACAGGCACAGCATAAGCTACTGAAGCATTGCAGTTTTCACAATGCAAGTACAACACATCAAGTGCTGGTAATGATTTTTAAACAAGATTTTACTGTAGTGATGCACTGTAACTAAGATTCCCAGTCAGTTCCAAACTAAATCATCCCCCTCACAAGCAGAGTCAAACACACTTTAGATTGAAACCCCACCATTCAAAAAATACTTTCCAACTATGTCTTTTAACCTCTAGCCCACGTTTAGTGGTTTGTGACAATAAACTGCAGTTACACTTAGGAAACAGACACTTACAGCTTGAAAAAAGTTGTACCCAGCTGCAGTAACAGCACATGGGGCAGCCTGTGCTCATGCACAATCAGAACTCCTTCCACTGTCCGCCTCATGCCAATCTTGTCAAACTCTTCTCTCATGCGCTGAAACCGAGCTGCCACGGAACTGTCCTTCTCATACAGAGGCTCCTTTGTACCAAACGTGTAATTCGTCAGAGGATACCTGTAAGGAGAAAAAATGTTACTGCGTAACAAGAAATCTAACTTTAAATCACCATGACACAGCATCTACCCTGAGACAGATCCTTCACTGCTTGATGGGTAAAGTCATAGTGCAGGGCTAAAAATCTTTGTTGGTGGCTTATGAGGCCCCTGTCCCAGGGAGATCTGCACTATAGAACAAATAAGCACAGACAGTCCTGTTGAGCTGCACTCTAGCCTGGTGTAGGCTCAAAAGAAGGAAAAGAAGCACAGAACCAACTGTTGTTCAACAGCCACCCTCTTTGATCTCCATGCTGCAGGGAAAAGGCAGGTGAAACTCTGCTAGGAGCTGGAAAAGAGACTGGAGAAAAAGCTCTGCTGGGAAGGAAGGAAGCTGCACAGGACTGCAGGTTTTCTTCTGCAGATGTAATGAAGCCTGAGAACTAAACTGTTAGAAGTGGTTTTGTTTTGAAGTGGGAAATCAGACATGTGGATCACAGAAGAGGAGACATGCTGAGTTTCTGAGTACAGGGTTGGGAACCTAGGGTAGGATCAAGAGTGTGAGCAGATCCCTCTGTTGGGCTGGTGCTGGGTGCCTGCACTCCTGTAACAGTGCAGTGGAAACTTGTCGATTTCTGAAAACAAAGAAAGGAAAGGTTAGGCAAGAAATGGGTCAGCCCAAGACAGCACAGAGGGCAACAGGGGAGTGTTATTGTACAATTAAATCCATTTAACAGAGAGGTCTGGTGGCAGGAGGCCTGGAGGAAAGACAGAATCACCCAGCTAAGTCAAAAGGGAGAAGAAAATGGTTCTGGGCAGAGCAGTGATGAGTTATCACCATGGTTTTACTGACTTGTGGCACACAGCAATGGAATTAACAGAATGAATGACTGTCTTATGTTTTCCTTGAGATGCTTCTTGGCATGGATTCCTTCCCCAGACATGTCAAACTTTAGTAGCATACGCTCTTCTCTCCTCAAATTCCAGCCCTCCTCTTCCTCCAATTTTCCTAATGTTTTACAGTGGTTAAAATAACAAGCCAGTTACCATTGTTGGAGCCTTTTCTCATGTAGACAAAACAACTAGCTTCCAAACCACAGGTTCATTTACTAACAAGCTCCCCCACTTTTACTTATAGTCTAAAACCATCTACATTTCTTTCTCTCTTCATTTCCATTCTTAGATACACAAATTACTTTAATAATAACCTATTAAGCTAACCCATACTATACTAATGTGGATGCATTAGTCTGTACATCAAAACCCTCAGCTTCAACTTAAAAAAAATGCTGCTGGTAACACAGCTTCATTATGAGTCTTTGCTTCAGAAACCCGATAGAAATATTGCAGTTTCTGAAGTTCATATTTGAACTTCCACATGACTCTGTGAATAAACTCAGCTACACAAAAAAACACAAAAGTGTCAGTGATTAATAGCTAAAATTAAATATTGACTGTTACAGCTACCATTTGCTGGTTTTTGCAATTTGATATATGCACATAGCAAAGAACACGTCCCAAATCCACCAGATTTACTGGAAGAAGCAAAAATATATGACTTCTCATAAAAAATACATTAATACTTATTAGTAAGTAGTTTGTCTCTATTACAAATTTCTGTGGTAGGAAACACTCCGAATTTTATCTCCAACACCTGTGCCAGATAATCCACAATCACCAGGCACATCCAGCCACATCCCACTGATTGCCCAGGATCAGCTCAAACCCCAGCGAGGCTAAGACCCTGTCTCTCTCTGCCGTCTTTCCGGATGCCTGTGAGAGCAAGAAAATGTCTGTGATGCTCACCACACCTAGACCTTTCCTGTGTTACTTGGGGTTCACAACTCCCGAGCCAGACGCTACTTCTAAGCACTAAAACATTTACACCAAATCCTCCACATTCCCACGAAGGCCGGCAAGCCCTCGGTACCCTCAGCGCGGCTCAGCAGCCCCTGTGAGGGGGGCGGGCCCCATCGGCACTCGGGCTCTGCCACCGCTGTGCCCCAGCCCTCCGAAGGGCCAGGACCCTCCGGACCTCGCACGGCGGAATCGGAAGGAAAATCCCGCCGAGCCTGCCGAGGGAGCGGGGATGAGCTCGCCAGCGGGGCGGGACGGCGGGGGCAGAGCCGGACAGGCCCGAGGCGGCGCTCACAGGTTGATGGTCCTTTCCAGCGTGAGCGGCTTCGTCTGCTGGATGTACTTGTTCCCGAACTGGTTCACCCCGCGGGGCCAGCCGGTCTGAGAGCGGTTGGGCGGCACCACGGACATGGCGAGAAGCGACGGGAACAGGCGGCGGGAGCGCTCAATCACTTCTGGGCGGCGGGAGCGCCGTCCGCCATTAACGCCCGCCCAGCCCTCAGCGCCGCGCCGCCTGCTGGGACCCGCCGCGCCGGCCCCGCCCCTCCCGCTCATTGGCCAACGGCTCCCCGCACGATACGATTGGCCATCGCTGGCGAAGCGCGGGGGCCGCAGGGAGTTGTAGTCCGGCCGGACGGTACCATGGCCGCCAAGCGTCACGGAGCGGCGGCGCCGGCGGCGGCCAAGCGCGGGAGGCGCGAGGCGCGCGCGGAGCTGAGCGCGGCCCTCGGGGACGCGGCGCTGCGGGAGCGCGCGGGGGCGGCCTGGGCCCGCGGGGAGCGGCTCCGGCACGGTACGGTACAGCACGGCACGGTCCGGCCGGGCCGCGGGGAGCGGCTCCGGCACGGTACGGTACAGCACGGCACGGTCCGGCCGGGCCCGCGGGGAGCGGCTCCGGCACGGTCCGGCCGGGCCCGCGGGGAGCCGCTCCGGCACGGTACGGTACAGCACGGCACGGTCCGGCCGGGCCCGCGGGGAGCGGCTCCGGCACGGTACAGCCCGGCCCGGCTCCCCGCCCCTCACCGACGGCCTTTCCCTTGCAGAAGCGGTGGTGCTGGAGCCGGCCCCGTTCCGGCACGGTGTCATTCCCGGTTTCCTGGCGGACCCGGCTTTCGCGGAGGCGCTGCGGGATGAACTGCTGGGCCTCGGCTTCCGCGGGCGGCGGAACGACCTCCTGTCGCTGCGGCAGGTGGGCCCGGGGCCGAGCTGAGCCGGGCCGGGCTGGGCCGGGCCGAGCCACGCTAACCCCGTCCCTTCTTCTCTTCCATGGGCCGCGCAGTCCGAGGAGCTGGGGGCAAGCCCGGAGCCCCACGTCGCTGCCCTGAGGTGAAGCGTGGGCTCGGGGCTTTGCCCGCTCAGGGTGGGGGGAGAGCCGTGCTGGCTCCACAGCGAAAGCGGGGTGGGCCGCCTTCTGCCCCCATACTCGGGCCAAAAACCGGCTGTGGAGAGCTGGATCTGCTCTGTGCTTGTCATGGGCAATGAAGTCTGTTCAGCTTTCATCCATATTCAGCTCTCCTGCAGCTGTCACCTCTGACAAGCTTCACAGTGCACCTTCCCACTGGTTGCATGTTTGCTGTTGATTATTGCCAGCAGTGCTGTGAGTACGGGGCTGTTTTCTTGGCCAGTACCGGTGTGATCCTACAGAAACACACTGTCACTCACAGCAACAGCACCTGTAACCATTTAAACAGTTAGCAGGGAGGCAATACATTAATTTAGTCTATGATTATATGTTTTATAACATAGGACACTTACTGTGTGCTTATTTTCTCAGGCATGCACTGTGTGAAGAATTCCAAGTGTGGCTTTCTGATGTGACCCAGATAGTGCTGGAGCCAACTATTGACATATCCTGTGCTAAATATGAATATACTGGTCAGTCTCTAAGTGATCCTTTCCCTAGAGCTTCTGTGTATGTGTAGGGAACAAAACGTCTATAGAACACCTACTTTTATGCTAGTTCCAGAGGGTCCTAGAGGCTGTCAACAGCAAAACTGTGAAAATGAAGTACAAATGATGAAACAACTGTTGCTGGTGTATAACTGCCTGTACCTTCAGAGTGGCCTGATCTGTCAATTGCAGTGCAGTCCCACAGAAGTGAATCTTGCAGATTTCAGGCTGCTGATGCCAATGAGTGAAAATGTAGTTCTTAGAAAGAACATGTTTTTTCTTGTCGTATCCTTGCGGGGACAAAGCTGGGAAGCAGTTGTTGGCATGAATGATGCATGTACTGGAAAGATGCTACAGCAGCAAAACATGTGTAATTGCAGATGTCTTGCTGTGCCACGATGATGAACTGGAAGGTCGGAGAATTGCTTTCATCCTATACCTCGTCCCACCCTGGGAGAAAAGTGACGGGGGAACATTGGATCTGTACAGCACAGATGGTAAAAGCTCCAAGCTCAGCCTCAGATAGATGAAGGAGATGAAGCTTATGTGCCCCTTGCAGCAACTCTCACCCCAAACAGTAGAAGGGAAATAAGGAATTTCTCCTTTGTTCAGAGAAGCTGATGTAAAGTGTGCCCCTTAGGGATGGGCTGTAGTAGGCTTTCCAGACAGGCAACAGCAGACAAACTTTTGGAGGGGTCAGGAGTAGAGGCAAGATGGAAGTGATGCCAGTAAATGTGCTTGGAACTCCAGACTGATGACAAAAACTTCCCTTTCCAGCAGCAGAACCGCAGAATGTTTTGGGTTGGAAGAGATCTTAAAGCTCATCTTGTTCCAGCCCGCCTGCTGTAGGCAGGGACATGGTCTGCTAGACCAGGATGCTGCAAACCCCACTGAGCATTTCTAGGATGGGGCATCCACACTTTCTCTGGGCAACCTGTGCCAGTGCCTCACTGCTCACAGTGAAGAATTTCTTTCTAATAGCTGATCTAAACACACCCTTTGTTTCAAGCCATTCTCCCTTGTTCTGTTATTCCATGCCATGTCTGTCCTAACTCCTTCTACAGCACTCTTGGTAGCTCCTTTTGGTACTGGAAGAGGCTTTAGGTTACCCTAGAACCTTCTCTTCTCCAAGCTGAACAGCCCCAACTCTGTCTTCCTGTCTCCATGCAGAGATGCACTGATTCCTCACCAAGCCCTTGCTCTGAGCTCCATGCCTTATACCCAGGTGTCCCACCAGTCACAGAATCATGTTGTCAGAGAGAAGTCCCAGTTCCTTTCTTAACCAGAGTATGTTTTCTTCTTCAGAACACTTTCAGCCACAGCAAATCACCAAGTCATTAGTGCCTTCATGGAACACACTGGTTTTCTTTGAAGTGTCTCCAGTCTCTTTCCATCAGGCAAGGAGCGTTCTCTTGTTAACTTTTTAATCCTCATTGTTGTGGTTATTCATTCTGTGTGTTATTACTGTCCTGATGGGGAGGGAGAAGAATGGTGGGTAGAGTGGATACTTGTGCTAAGTGCTGTGTGCTAAAGAAGGGCTTCAAGGACTTGAAGGAGGACAAGAACCAACAAAGCCAACTTTAAACCATCAGTCTAGCTGCATCATCCTGTGAAAGAAAAATTTCCATTTCTATTTTGTGTTACTATCGTGGCAAGCCACTGCTTTGAATTTAGCTCTCGCTTGTTTGTTAGCTTGTTTTAAACTAGCTCACATTTTTGATGTGGTGGTCATGACTTTGCTCCAGAAGAGCTCCTCAGGCCATTCATCACCTTGCCAACAGTGCAAGGGCACTTTGCAGATCTGGCTGTACCCCCTCAGTGGCACAGACATGGTGCAGTACCCTGCAGCAGAAATGCTGATACAGTTAAGGAATACTCTGTGACACTTGTCGGGAAGAAGCCTGGGAACAGGATGAATAATTTGGGGAGCTGCATGACACAAACACCTGACTGAAATCTGACACTCCTGTGTACCTGAGAGTACCAGGGACATCAAACAAGGCCAGAGAGCAGAAGGCTGGGGAGGAAGATGATCAGTGATATAGGTTGGGCATGTCCTGACCTAGGCCACTTAGGGGTCTGTTTTTGTGTCATTTATGTCTTACAGTTGTTAATTAAGAGCAGCATCTACTTGGGTTTAATTTTGTCTTAAAAATCCATTACTCAAATCTCCCAGAGTAAGAGAGAGAATGCATTCTCTGTGAACTTGGAGTAAAAGCTTAGACTGGAATTCTGGAAACCTGCAATGGACTTCAGGACAATAGGCCTCTCTCTGATAATCTGTCTGACATACCTGTGTGTGCAGTGGGCTCTCTGGAGCAGAGTCCATCTCCTGTTATGAGTTTGCTTGGCACTGGTTACGCCTGGTCTGACCCGTGACGTGCTGCCCGCCGTTGTTGCAGGTGTCAGAAGTTGTGTCGCAGAAGTGCCGCCTGTCAGTGAGTGGTTGGTTCCACGGCTCGCCTGTGGCCAGACCTGCACGGCACATTGAAGCCCCCTTGGCCAGAAGCCCACACATCTCCTATGATGTGAGTAACAGTATATCTGCATTTCTGTCTCTGTCCTGTTCCTGTAATACCTGTTGGGGAATGCATCAATGCACTGGGGATGCTTTAATCTTTATCCCATTCTCCTTTTCATTTCCTGTTGATAAATTTGTATCCAGTTTCTTTCTTAGGCATCTTTGTATGTTTTGCATACCTACAGTAGTTCAGAGAATGTGGTGAATACCTGTGGTGCAAGGAAATAAAGCAATGGAGTGTGTTTGTGTGTAGGAATCCAGCTCTGTGGCCAGCTCAGTAGGAGGAATTAGGGAATCTTCTTCACTTCTGAAAATTCAGTGTTCTAATCCATTTCCCTTCCAGCATGAAATATTGTATGAGTGGATCAATCAAGTTTATTTGGACCTGGACTCCCAAGCTCAAATCCAGGAGGAATTTGAGGAGCGATCAGAAATTCTCCTGAAAGACTTTCTTAAGGTGAGCCCAGTGGTTGAATTTGATGTGATCTGCCAGAACTGGTCAGAGGGCTGGCAGGTACTACATGGCACGAAGGCTGGGAGAGGACTTCCTTGCACATCCATTAAAACAAAACACCTTCTAAGTTTCACACCTAAAAATGGACAGGTGACCTCCAGAGGCTCTTTCCAACCAAAAACCACTCTGATTCTGTGGAATTATCCCCTCTGACTGCCTGTAAACCACTGCATCAGGACTCAGCAAAAATAGATCACTTGTCTTCAACCTTGTTTTCTTAGGAGCTAAATGTTAACATTTCTGCATCTCTTTCTCCTAGAAAGAGAAGTACCAACTACTATGTGAAGCATTGGAGAACAAAGAGATCCACTGGAGTAGTCGAGGGCCAGCCAATAAAAGGTGGGGAATGACAGCACGCTGCACCAGTGTGCTGAGCAGGAGCTGCCAGGAGGCTGCACTGGTCAGTGCTATTGTTATAGATGTGGTCCTTGTTGGCTCTCCCACAAGGAGATACATCTGCTGTCTTTCAGACTCTATGAGGCAGCAGAGGAACACAGCCTCCCTGACACCCTGAAGAAATTCCTGCAGCTGCTTCGCTCTGAGGCCTTATTTTTATTGCTTTCCAACTTCACTGGCCTAAAACTGCACTTCCTGGCTCCCTCTGATGAGGATGAAGATGCTGGGGAGGGACAAGCAGCAGACACCAGTGGGCAAAGCAGTCTCAAATCTGAGCAGGAAGAGACTGAACAACGAGCCAATGGCAATCCCCATCAGCCACACCAGCCTGAGAACACCCCTGAAGCACAGGATGGCGAGACTCAGAGCAGTGAGTAGAGCAGCAGCAGTGAAAAAGGATTCAAACAAAATTCCCAGTGATTTTCATGGAACTAGTGCTTCACCTTGTTTGTTTCACCTTGTTTGTGCAACCAGCACAAACATAGGACTTGAAGCTTTTTAGACTGATTATCTGAAATCAGTGACCATTGCAAAAGAATTTGGAGTAAATCAATGATAATTTGAAGATGCCATTTTGAACAGACCTAAGTCCTAAGGGTGGGACTTTTGGGGGGACTGCTCATCTTCTGTCAATAGTTATATGGTTTCTACATCCATGTACCCCTACGTCATATAAAGCATATTCTTGTATGAGATAATAAATCCAAAAGAGACAGGTGAACAGGTCAGAAGTAAAACCATTTTAGAATTAGAAAATTGATACCTAAAACTAGGATTCAACCTTTCAGAAAACACCATCTGCCTAAACAACCTTAGTTGAATTTAGTTGTCAGCAGTGACAACTATGAAAGATTAGATTAATTTTGGGTTTTGATTGATGATGTTTATTTAAAAGAGTGGCTCTGAAGTTTAAAGGTAGAGTTTTTGAAAATGCTCATCTTGCACTAAGACAAGTTAGTGGACACTGGAATAAAAGGTAATATAAAAACAAGTCCTACTTAAAAAATCCCATCAGAGCAGTTACCAGGACCAAAGGATGTATGGAGCAAATCTCACAGTGGTGTGAGATCACTGAGCTCCTCACACGCTTTGAGCTCAGCTGATGTACCTTCATGGCTCTCCCTGGGTGTTTGTGCCCTCTCCTAGGCTCAGGAACTCCTGTGTGTGCGGGGGAGCTGCGACGCTGGACCCACGGGCACTACACTCTTGTCCATGATTCTCAAGCCACAGAATTTGCTCTTGATCTGCTCTTCTTTTGTGGCTGTGAAGGTAAGTGGATGAGAGAGAGATGTCAGACTCTCCTTTCACAAGACTTGCATAAAGGAATGACTTCTGAGTGGTCAGCAGTTCTGAAACACACAAAATTTCCCTGCTTTTTTCTGCATAGAAGGTTTCTGTAGACTTTGTCTTAGTCCTCACTTCGGCATAAACCCTGTTTCCAGTAGTCCTCATGGAAAAGTTTGGGATTGTGGCCTTGGAATCATCTCTGGCCTTTCCGCTTGCGCCAGGAGGTGGCGCTTGGACAGGGGGAAAGGCTGAGCAATGGCTCTGGGTGCGCTGCAGGCTCAGGTGGCCACAGTACCCACCAGGAGTGTTCTACCCTTTTCTCATCAGAATTATTACTACACGTCCAGTTCACAAAGGTCAACGTTTTCAAAAGTTACTTTAGGCATACCTAGGCATTTTGGGTTGATTGCTAGTTAGATAGTGGTAAAACAAAAAAAAAAAAAAAAAAATTAACCACAAGCATTTTAGACCAGATGAGGCCAAAATGTACAGCTGACTGAAATCCTTTGGTATATCTGCTAGGGTAGAACTGTTCTACAGGTGAGGAGCGGTGCACCAAGCAACTTTAAATAGCTCATCTACCATAAAAGGCAAATCCAGTACACTTGCTTCAAGTTGTTTCTGAACAGAAGAAAACAAATAGACTGGCAGGAGGTAAATACTTACCCTGTATCCAGTAACTTTGGAGAGCAAGGTGAAAAATGGCATCTCCTGGAAGGCTGTGTGGAGCATGAACAGCACTGTGGTTTCTAAGAATGTTTCTTTTCTATTTTAAGAGTGGGATCCTGAATATGGTGGCTTTACTTCCTACATTGCTAAAGGTGAAGATGAAGAGGTAAGGACCTCAGTAGCTAGCTGCAAATCAGATGAAACTGTATAGGGTGGAGAGACATAATTACACTTTGTCTTAATGCCAGCATAGTGCTGAGGGCGCTCAGTTGCGCACTGGAGCCTCCCTGCCCCAGTTGCTGCTCGTGGGCAAAGCTCTGGCCTCAGAGCTTTGTTAACACAAAGCATGAGACCTGGGCCCTGAGAGAGCCTCATGGTACCTGCACCTGGGGCTGTTTGGGAAGCCTGCCTGGAAGGGACACAAGGCTGTAGCAGGGATAACACTTGCCCAGGGAAGTGCTGTTCACTGGGATCCCATTCAGCATCAGTACTAGAAGCCCTTAATGTATAACAATGCTTCAGGTAAAGGGTATTAAAATGAAAATAGTGTCACAGTGCATTTTCTAACACCAACCCTTTGTTCTAACTAACTTTTGAAACAGTTTTGTTTTTTCTGAAGAATTTTATTAAAGCTATTTTTGTGAAATTGATTTCCTTCCTTATCTTTGTATTCCCTAGCTGTTGACAGTGAATCCAGAGGAGAACTGCTTGGCCTTAGTTTATAGAGACAAAGAAACTATGAAGTTTGTGAAATACATCAACCATCGAAGCTTGGCACGCCTGAACAAGCATCCAAACAGAACAGGATTTTGGGATTTTTCCTTCGTCTATTATGAGTGATGGTGTAGTATGACCACTGTCACAGAGAAGAGTAGTGGGTGGTGGACAGGTTCCTACCCAGACATTAAGCTGACAAACTTTGCTCATGCAATTCAATCACACTGCTTAATGGAGGGGGGGGGGGGGGGGGGGGGGTTTTTTTAACTGCAAAAAAGGAAAATCAGACTTATCCTGTGTCCATTGTAACACACTCTCAACGGCTTTTAAGGCTCTGTGGTTGTCACACAACTTGCCAGCTGTTTTCTCATGGGAGCAGCACAGTGGCATCTCTGACCCATCAGAGTGAGAATTACAACTGTCCATTGCCCCAAGCTGCTGACTGATTTTATTAAAAAAAAAAAAAGGAAACGTGTCAGTTTTTTCATACACTGGTCAGACAAGTTTTGTTAGAAAATGCCCAAGACATTTTCTGGGGCTTAACTGTGTTCCTAAGACAAAAATAAAGGAGCCACCATGGGAAATATGAGGTTTTTCCAGCTGCACAACTCTGTGGAATTGGGAAGGAAGACAGTGAGGCTATAAAGGCATTGGGTAGCACTTGGCACCATAACAAGGAGCAGGACTTTATTATGCTAAATGCTGTGCAGACAGACCTAGATGGGGCCCTTTTTCCAAAGAATTTACAAGCTAAACAGCCAAGAAGAAGCCTGCTCCTGCACACTCTCCTTGGGTGGGTGTGCAGACAGCTTTGAGCTCCAGCCTCACAACAGTGGCCAGGGACTGGAAGCAGGAATGAGGCAACTTACCTTTTACTGGCTTGGTGTCCACAGGTAATAGGGAGGTCATCCAACAGCATGGCCTTGTGTCCTTTTTGTTATGTCCTGGGATCTGCGTTTTAGGGTGGTTTATGTCACTGGAGATCATCTCAAATGTTTTGAGGCAGCAGCCAGCCAAGTCCTGTGGTAAACACTGCAGGAAAGGCAGTGAGTGTGGCCTTGGTGCAACACTTTCCTCCCTGCATGTTTTCAACACTGTGCACCGCCCCACAGTCACTGCAAACAGGACTGTGCCAGACTCACCTCTGAGGTGTCCAGACCACCAAGAGGTGCAGCAGAGCTGTACCAATGCTTCAAGAGACAGCCAGAGTGCAGAACACTGCTGGAGGCTCGGCCCTGGTCTGCACCTGCTTGCCTGAAACTTTTTTCTGTCACTGAGAGACAGGTGTTCTTGCAGCTCGTGCAAGCCAGACACTGCAGGCCATGGGCTTGCAGTAAGCTGGGGAGTGTGCATGTCTTTCCTGGGTAGCTTTGGATTAAAGTCTGCTCCTTCTCCCATTCCAGGCCTGTTGGAGGCCACCACAGTGGGGTAAGACTGCAGCTGACAGTACAGGAGCAGTAAACTCAAAGCAAGGCTCACTGTTGACATGAGTACTCTGGATCTTTTCCCGAGCAGGTGGGATGTCCTGTGGGCATGTCTGCATGAAGACACAGGAGCAACAGCCTTCAGTGTCGATCCCAACACACAAAGTTCAAAAAAGGAATCCCTGAGGCAGGTGGCAGGAACCCCTACCATTGCTTCCAAAGGGGAAGGTATCTCAGCCCCCACAGGTTCCAGAGCAAGGGGCCAGCACTGCTGTTAAGAGAGTGCTGTGCAGGTCTCTCTAGTTCCAGTGTCGGTTCCATCCCAGGTGATGAGCAGCTGCTCAGTTCTAGCTGCTCCCTCACACTCTGTTGGGCAGGAAGGATGGCTGGGAGGTGGTTGCCCCGAACAGCTGTTGTAAGATCTTGCTCATATTCTGACTCATTTCCCAAAGCCAGCATCTCTGCGTGCTGCCAAAACTCTCTTGCTCAGTTTTAATCTTCCTTTGCCACTTACAAAGGTAAGGGGATGAAGCTAGAAACATGCTGAATTGAGGACAGAACCCTTTGAATCATGGTTTCTGATGTACCTTTCTGCCTACTGGAGCAGCAGCTCTTCCTGGGAAGAAGGCTGTTCTTATAGAAACAAGTTCTTACTCTGAGCTCTCCCCTAGAACAAAACAAGTAATGGAGGCTTCAAAAAAAAAGGAACCAAAATTATTTGGGTAGTTTGGAACAAAACTGATAGACACCACAACTATTCATAGTCTGTTAGGCAAAGTTGGGAGTAAATTCATTAACAAAACAAAGTTATTTCTTTGACTGCATTGTGAGCCTAACAATGTGCTTGATAGATCTTGGAACATCCTTCCAGGAGATTGGGAAGTCAGGCTCTTTAGAGCTTGCTGCTTTTTAATAAGTATTACACTAGAGGGCATACCAGCCTCTGCTTGAGCAAGGCCCTATCTACCTGATCACATAAGGAACCACCCTTCTTCCTCTGGTGACTCAGATGAAGTAATTTAAGAAGCCAAATTTGCAGTTAGCTTTCAAAGGTTTAGAAATGAATATGTCTCTGCTCTCCCGCCCTTCTTGTTAAGTCCTAAACCCACAGGCAGTGCCAGGCATGACTGGTGCTGCAGGTACAGACGAAAGACTTCACTCACTAAAATTCCAAATTACATGAGCTACTGGAGGAAGAGGGGCCTTAATTTATACAGTGTCAGTAATGGGAGCTTTCTCTATAGATGCTCTTCCTGGATACCAATCTGTATTTACAATTGGGTGCAGCCACTTGCAAAGTACATGCATATTTCATTTGGCAAAGGTAAAAGTTGGTTTTACAGGAAAATAAATTACAAATTTGTCAAAAACTTAGATAAGGGAAATCAGCCTTACCAAAGGTCTGCACAGCAAGTGAAAGATTGACCTCACTGCCAGGAGCAGAACACAGCTGGGATTGGCAGTGCCTGGTGCGTAGTCCTGAAAATCAGACTGATGGGAAAGCTGCTTTCTGATCAGAGCTGCTCTCTTGCTCTCTTATCATTAAATGGAGTACATAAATATAAGAAAGCAAGCATTAGGATTTTGAACATAAAGAACAAGAGCTTGCAACAGTGGGAACAGGTACAGCAAGTGGCAGAAAGCCCATAACTTATGCCAGGAGACTGTTCCATAATAAGTCTCTGAGCTGACTTGCTTAGAACAGCATGGGTGGCTCACCACCCTTCTACCAAGCAGCTGGATTTGACTAACAACCTGTTTCTTGAAAGGATTCAAATGAGCTCCTGCAGATTCTGACACTAGTCTGTGCTTTCAGAAGCATAGCTCTCTATAGGGAAGGAGCCAAGGCAGTGGTGAGGGGCAGTTTTGGGAATAAAACATGTTAAGAGAATTACATTCCCCATTCAACTGGTCACATCATGCTCACTAGTGGCTCTGTAACAAAGGGTAGGTTGCTGTTTTTAATTCAGGTGGCTTGTAAAAGAGACCAGTTAGAGGCCATGACCCCTTCTGACAGCCCCAAGAAAGCACCCAAGAAATGTGAGATGGACCAACTCTTCTCTGCCTACGTTGCAGACACCATTGTATGGTGGCAAGGGCGATGCTGATGCAGGAGCACTAGGGCCCAACCTCCATCCTGTGCAGGTTATTTTTAGCTTCAAAAAGAAATTTGCTTTGGCAAAGGTTCTAAAATACCTTTAGATCTTAGATAGAGCCTTACTGTAATATTTTAATCCAATTCTAAGAGATCACATAATTAAACAGGTTTGAGCCAGGAGCCAAGTAATTTTCCAATACCTTCTTCTTTTGATCCCATTAAGTACTACCAGCTCTTCATGATTATGCACCAAGCTTGGGTGTGTAATTTGTTTTTGTTGTTCCTGAAATGCACCCTTGCCCATCTCAGTATGTGCAGTTTTTCCAGCAGTAGCACAGAACCAGTAGGTGGAAGCAAAACTTTCTGCAATCCAGGTGTGGGGAGAATGCTGGATATGAAACAGACCATGTCCTACCTGCACAGATCATGGAACTGGATACCTGTCAAAGATCTTCTGGCTTAAGAGCCAGTGGTTTTCATGCACTGCTCTGCAGTTTACCTAGAGAGCCATGCATCCCTGTGTAAAACCCCGGACTCTCCAGCACAGGAAGTTCAAGGATAAAGGAACTGGATACCTGTCAAAGATCTTCTGGCTTAAGAGCCAGTGAGATGTTATCTTTTGGTGGTTTTCATGCACTGCTCTGCAGTTTACCTAGAAAGCCACGCATCCCTGTGTAAAACCCCGGACTCTCCAGCACAGGAAGTTCAAGGATAAAGGAACTATACAGCAGAAATCAGAGAAGTTGTTTGGGTTGGGTTTTTTCAACAAATAAATTTAGCAGTACACATCTCCCCAACTAAATCAGAACAAAATTAGTCAAACCAGTCTATGTTTTAATGGAAAAGACCAATGCCTGAACTACAAAATATATTTAAATACATAAATAAATTAGTGTAATAAAAAATAACTGTTTGAACTTCTGTCTTGCATAAATACCACATCTGCACTTAAACTCTCTTCATGGAGTTTTGGTCTGTGTAACATTTCTTGCCTAACAAGTAAACTACAGCACTATCATTGTATTTACTTCACCCTACAGTGGAGTAAGGATCTGAATTAACTGCTTGTCATCCATTATCTGCTCAGTGCATGGAATCACTGGCTCTGCACAGCTGCTGCTCCTCTGCCTAAGATGAAGCTGTTCCCACACGCATTATCCTGAACAGTGTGTTGAAGTTGTTGCTCCTTATTGCATCCCGACAAGCACTGATCACTTGTGTTTTAGGTTTGCCAACTACAAGGAGGAAAAAAAAAAAAAGAAAGGAAAGGAAAAAAAAAATCTCAGTTACAGAGTAAGAAACTGTTAAAAATACTTGATCCAGGCTGAAAATTTAGGGATTTCTTTCAAATACTTTTTAAACACATGATGAATCACCACCTTTTTTCTAGTACACAAATAAAATCCTTTCTTTAAAGAAGAATCCGCTGTAGCTTCTGTTTTATGTTGGAAGGGGAATGCTATAAACATACCAAAAAGTACCTCTCTCCCCAAAGACCTAGAGGACTAATAATGCAGATAAACCAGTCCTGCTTAAGTTAGTAGTTGCTTTTTTTAAAAGCAGAATTAAAAAACTAAGAACTGAAGTAATTCTAAAAACAATTCTAAAATCAGAAGACCATTTTTAAAGTAGTATGCCCAACAAAACTATAAATTTCTGCCTCATTCAGAAATCTGGAAATTATTTCAAATTGTTCTTTATAGAATTGTGATCCCAGATTATATGACACACTCACAGTTGACTGTCACACATAATTGGCTATGACTAAAGAATGAAAGATTACTTCTACTAACTCAGTTTCAAGCTAAAAAGTCTGAAGTCACTTAACTGACCCAGGTGACCTCAGGGTCACTTAACTAACCCAGGGACACATCTTACGTGCTTCTCTGAGGGTCTGAGAAAATTTTTTTTCAAAAATAAAGACTTACCACGTAACCGCCCAGC